TTGGAAATCAGTATGGCGGTTGCTTAGAAAAATGGGAATCAGTCTACCTCAAGATCCAGCAATTCCTCTCTTGGGCATATACTCAAATAATGCACGTTCATGCAACAAGGACATATGTTCAACCATTTTCATAGCGGCATTGTTTGTAATAGCCAGAAACTGGAAGCAACCTAGATGCCCCTCAACTGAAGAATGGACAGAGAAAATATGGTACATTCATACAATGGAGTACTACTCAGCAGAAAAAATCAATGGAATCTTGAAACTCACAGGCAAATGGATGGAACTAGAAGAAACCATCCTGAGTGAGGTAACCCAGTCACAAAAAAGACAAACATGGTATGTACTCACTCATATATGTATTTTAGACATAGAGCAAAGGATTACCAGCCTACAATCCTCTTGTGATTGTGGACAGGAGGACAATTGAATCAACATTCCTGTGTTGCTTGGGCCAACAGTAGGTGAGCCTTCCTATAGTCTGTAATCCACAGGTCACATGCTATCAGCAAGAAGGCAGGTGTCCTGCAGCCCACTACTATGGATGGAGGACCTTGGGGCTGGCTGTCCATGCAACATCCTGTCATTCTCTATTATTCTTTAATCATTAATTCAGGTAAAATTTTATCCTTCTCAAGAACTCTGATGCTTTTGATGACTGGTAGTCTTGCCAGCTTAAAGCAAAACAGATTTCACAAACAGGTATTTTGGGATTTATCTATGTGAAGATAGGAAAGTGTAAGATGTATGAAGGTCTGGGAATGTAGTTACGAAGGTCTGAGGATGGAAACGTCTAACACGGTGGACAAATGCAAGTCATGAAGGTTTGTGAATGCAAGGTATAAATGTCTGAAAATGGAAGGTCTAAGATGATAACATAAGGTGTATGAATTAAAGTTATGAAGGTCTGAGGATAAAAAGACTTAAGTGATGATAAAGTGAGTTGAGACATTAAAAAAATGAAATGTGTTCCTGATTTCCCTATTTCTTATGCTACTCTTCATAGTGTGTTCTACAATACCACTGTACAATCATAACTACTAGGTCAAGATTAAGATGCTTTTCATTGTCCTAAAAAAATATGTCAATTTTAAAATGGTAATGCTTTCAGCCAAGTTGCTTCTAACAAGAATATGCTGCTAATGTGTCTAATACTTATGTTTCCACAAACTAAGGATTCTTGTAAGTTCCAGGGAGCTGAATTGGATCCAAACAAACAGGTCTAAAGGGTGGCAGGGAGTTCCATACAGCCTGGACTGCAATGAAACAACCAGCTACCCCAGGATGTGGCAGCACCCCAACCTTCTCACGTCCCCCAAAGATGGACAACGCACCCCCCCCGTCAGCATGAATCAGTCTTGAGAATTCAATGCCCTAATTCCTTAACCTGTCATGTCTAACAACCCACCTTTTTAAATAATAAGTAAAGGTGGGAATGAAAGGTTCAGGATTTAATGCTGATCAGCAATATCTCTATAAGAGACAGACTCCACCCCCTGACAACACTCAGGGCACACACAGGGACATGCCATCACCATATCACCCACCACACATGTGTGAGGACTCTGGGCATGCGTGGAACCTCAGTGTGCATGCACAGTTTTCCCTTTAAAAGTTCCAGCTTCCCTACTGGTTTCTTTCTACTCTCTCTCCCTGCTTCTGCTTCACTCTCTCTTCTCCAATCTATGAGCTTTCTCTGTCTCTCTATGGTGACCAGCCATGGCGGTCAGCCATTATTCCTGTTTCTCTACTCTCTTAGTCTCCCTACTCTGTTAGACCCTATAGTAAACTGGATAACATGTCTGAAAAAACAAGTAGTACTCTTATAAATAATTTGCATATGTTAAAATTTTGCATGATCTCTGATGTGTTTATACACATTTCAAGCCATTCTGAAAGCTAAATCACATTAGAAAACATTTAAAATTATGCCCCATTTCTATGTCTTTGTAATTGTTACTGAGTTTCTAGTTTGAGGTCATGAACTTAGGCTGGCAAATACTGTAGAATGATATTGGAATGAGTTCACAGTTGCCTAATATGAGCCTTTGTCTGTTTGTTACAAAAATCTATTTCTCCCTGTCAATAGCTAGTTTTATGGTGAACTATGGACAGTTAATGATTTCTTTTGTCTGCACTATAAATTTTATCCCTTAAGGCTTGTGATAAGCTAAGCAGTTAGCTATAGCTGGAATCCTAAGAAAACCCACAAAGAGCTCTTTGGCATGTCAGACTACATTTGGTTTGAAGGAATACCTTTCCCTTCTATAGTGAATCGAAAAGAAACATTTGAAGAAATTCGTCACAAGTTTGTGATCAGAGATGAAGACACAATCATACTGGCTTACCCCAAATCAGGTAAAGAACCATCAGTAAAAGAGATCCTACATTGTATGAGAAAGGGTAAGACTTTGATCCTCATTCATTTGAACGATAAATGAAGTGCTTTCTATCTATGGTGTTTAAAATGCTTTGTGAATATGGAAGGGTGTTTGTGAGTTCACTACTATTCAAACTAAGATGTCTAGACAGGTCTCTGTTGGTGAAGGATAAGTTAAGGCAAATTAGCAATGACAGTGGATCCAAAGGCAAACTGACATTTTGTTTCTCTGTGTGGAAGTAAGAGTGGATGATAAGTATAAATAGAAGAAATACCATCAAGAGAAATGGCGTGGATGAAATAATATGTGGAGAAGATACTGTCAGGCAGAAGAACTACCAGGAACCTTGTCCAGGTAGTGGAAACAGTCTCAAAACACAAGGAACCAAAAAGAGGCATTATGGGTGTTTTGGGGAGAGGTATTAGAAGGATGAGAGGAGCACTGAAAATTAGATAAGTATTAGGTTGTTGTATAGCATGAATAATAAAAACCCAGAGACAGAGGTCCAAGCTGAAGACCAGAAAAGCAAAGCAACTATCCAGCAGCACTTACCTCTACGAAGGCTGAAATGAGATCCTGTCTTCCCTTTGACTGGAAACTGATTCTCTCATAATACCCTTTCCTTTTTACATATAAACCTCTCTAGTGCTGTGTTTAAACATGTGGGCTCTGTTACTCTTTTAGGCTGTTTCACTCTAGTCTGGCACAGGGTGATCTTGGGATCACAGAGATCCATTTACCTCTGGCTCATGGGTCCTGGAATTAAAACTTTTTACATCTGTGGTTAACAAGTATGGCAGATTTATTTTCTCATCACCAGTCATGCTTTACATAGTTATAAACAATATATCGCAAAATTGATGTCACCAAAATTTAAATAACATGGAAAAGCCAAGGGTGTTGGAATGCATGAAAAAGATTCAGATGTAAGCCCAGAGAAAGAAGCTAGAGAAATACCCTTTGATAAATGAGCTTATAAAGACAAATACGAGATGGTGTGGTACCTAGACTCAAAAAAGATTTATTTAACTTAAATAGAAGCAATACTTATAGTTTCAGTGCATCACAGAAGTATCTCAACAGCATTTTATTTAATAAAATGAGCCAGTCTGAAGGACAGAAGCCATGACTGCACTACTTGGAAATATGTGAGACTGTCAAATTCCCTGCACCAGAATGTAGAAAGGTGTTGCTGCAGGATGGAGGGGTGTCCAATAGGCAGGTGGAGTTTATTGAGTATAGAGTCTCAGATTTCCAATTAAAATATTGAGAATGTAAAGGATGAACATAATTTGTACTTATACCATGTGGACACTGTGAACACATGTTTGTGTCTGTGAAAGCAGCTGCACTATAAATTGTATGTGCATGTATTTTCCTTGAGGCTTTTTAAAAGTACTGTTGAAGTGAGTTACCACAACTTTTCCTTTTTGTTCAGGAAGTCACTGGCTGGTTGAGATTGTCTGCTTGATTCAGACCAAGGGGAATCCAGAGTGGGTCCAAACTGTGTCTGTCTGGGATCGCTCACCCTGGATAGAAACAGAATCAGGAAGGCAAAATTTAATAAATAAGAAAGGACCACATCTGATGGCCTCCCACCTCCCTTTCCATCTTTTCCCCAAGTCTTTCTTCAGTTCCAAGGCCAAGGTGAGTGTCCAGTGGTTGAGAAATCTTGACCAAATGCTCATTGAACTTATTCTACTCTAGTGGACCTGGAGTTCTTCCTGACCTGCAGTCTGATTTTGTAGGGTGTGGGAGGGAATCTGGGATTCTCAGGCACTGGGTAATACTGATGTTTCTCCTCTTCAAAATACATCAGAGTACCAGGATGTCAACTGCCACACAGTGATCCTGGCCTGGTATATGAGATGAAGTTAAGTATCAACAAGAGCATTCAGGGAACTATATATACAAATCAAACAGATTTCAAACTCTCCTGTACAGTGAATACTACTCTTTTGCAATCATCAAAGTCAGTTAGCTAATTTTGGTTTTACATAAACACCGTGCCTATTGGTTGAATCACCCAAGGCATCCTTGCTCATAGGGGAACCATCCAGAGCAGGGGCCACTTGCTTAGTCATGGATATTGCTCAAAGGACAAGGCTCATCTGTACTCACTCTGAACTGTTTTGTCTAGCTGTCCATTGAGAACTGTTGCCACAAGAATCACCCATGTCACTAATAGAGGATTCCCCAGAAGGAATGAGAGACAGCCAGGTTCTGATATATCATAGCATAATGTTAGTAGGAAGTTTCTTTGGAAATTCTTCCACCACAGAACCTAAAAATATTTTATGCTTAAACTACAAAGGTAAACCTGGAGAAATTATCTCTGTTGAAAATATCACAATCGAGTTGTGTCCTGTATTTCTGTCTTATCTGAATTTGGCAAAGAACATTTGGCAAAGATTGAGGCCTAAGAACATGAATTCTAGAATAACGTCACAAATTGCATTGGTACAAAAGGCAGATCTTATTTTATTAAAATTATTAGTTATTTTCAATTCACTTAATTTTTGATATGATAATCACAAACATGATTTATCCTTCCCCTTCCTCCCGCCAAGCTTACCCATATGCCTCTCCTTTGTGTCTTTCAAATATATGATCTCGTTTTATTAAATGCTGTTATCAGTCCATGTATCTTCCTATTTCTCAATATTTAAATACAACATACTCAGTCTGTACAAGGTTACTTGTATGTACGTTTCCATGGGTTAGAATTTAACATTTTATAGCCCATTGCTATGCTCTTCAAATGGGAGGTTAAACGCTCTGGCTCTACATGTCTTCATTGCCTGAACATCTTGCTGTTCACTATTTGGCAATGATACATTGGCTTTATGATCTGCAATGTTCTTTTTTGAGAGTTACACTTACAGAAACCAATTGGCTTGTCATATTGCAGATAGATTTAGGACATTGTTCATCCTGTGTAAGCAAGGTATTCTTTCACCGTGTATTCATGGTCTTTTACTCGTGAAGATATTGATCTTTACAAGTATAGAATCAATCTTGGATTTTTGTTATAATTGTTAATACAGTAATAGTGATCTTAATCTTTTTCTTCTCCCACATTTTAAACCAAATATAATTGTATAACAATTTTCTGAGTACAAATATTTTGTACTATTATATGTATTTTGTACTAATAAAAATAACAGTTTGAGAAACCTCATGGAAATTTGATTGACATTTGATATAACATGTTCTAGTTAAAATGTGGGGAATGACATCATTGACTTTATTTACATGTTTTCCATTTAAGGTGATATATGTCATCAGAAATCCCAGAGATGTTCTTGTGTCTGGTTATTTTTTCTGGTGTAAGACAAAACTTGTCAAGAAGGCAGAGTCACTGAGAACTTATTTTGAATGGTTCCTCAAAGGACATGGTGAGTGTCCTATTTAATATAGGTGTCGGGGTGTCTCAGGTATATTTTTAAGACAAGATGAGATATAGCTTGGACTGGCCTTGAACACTCCAGATAGTCAGGGATGACCTGGAGGCTCTTCTTATTCTGAATCTCCCTCTTGAGTTTTGGATTACAATCACCTACTATCGTGTCCTGTTAACTGAATGTTGGGGTTCAAGCTCATAATATCAAGAATATTATCTAACTTGGGTACATTCCTAGATGTTAATGTATTCTGTGAACTTAACTTGGTTCTCTGTTGTCTCTCTATGTTCAACCAGTATGCAGCTCCAAGGCTCATCACCATTTTGAAAGTAATGCTGAATTCATCCTTCTCTCACACATCATTGCATAACAGGGCTCAGCCACATCTTAACCAATGACACAGCATCCTGGCAACAGTAGGACATATTGTCTCCCCAGTACTCATTTGTGGGTATTAAATGAGAAAGTCTCAGAATAATCACTAGATTTTGAACACTTGCTTCATGCATGATGGGACTGTTTCAGAAGATGTATGAGGCACAACCCTGTAGGAAGAAGTTTATCATTGAATGTGGGAAAGGGAAGGATTTTAAATTTTAATTAAATTTATGCATTTATTCTATATCCTCACCACAGTTTTCCCTCCTCCTCTCATCTTTTTCCTTCCTTCCACCTCCTTCTGCACCCCTCTTCAAATTTATTCATCTGTTTCTGTTCAAAAAGGTTCAAAAAGGCCTTATCATTGGTGTCAACAATGCATGGCATAGCAAGTTTAGGTAGGACTAATCTTCTCTTCTTCTATTAAGGCTGGTCAATGCAACCTATTATGAGTAACAGGTTCCCAAAAGTCAACCAAAGCAATAAAGTCAAGGCCTGTTTCCACCACCAGGAGTCCCAGAAATATATCAAGATACATAATAGCCACTCATATACAGAGACCCTAAGTCAGTTCTATGCAGGCTCGTTAGCTGCCATTCCAGAGGCTTTGAACTTATACAAGCCCATGTAAGTTGTTTCTGTGGTTTCTAATGAGATGACCTTGACCCATGTGAATCATCCAATCTTTAGTATCTCTCTTCAAAAGCTGTCCTTGATCTAGGCCCAGTGCTTGGCTGTGGGCCTCTGTCTCTTTTTCTGTAAGTCCCTGGATGAAGGCTCACTGATGACAATGTGGGTATTTCCAACCTGATTACAAGATATGGCCATTTAAGTCTAATTATCAAGCATTGGTAACATTCTTTGCTTGAACCATGCTTGTACATTCAGGGAAGTTTCCCTTCCACCAAGTTTCTATGTGACCCTAAAATGCCACCCTATGAAGATATCTCATCCATTTCTCTCTCCCTCCATCCATACCCCCAAACTGTTATGACCCCATCTACACCATCACCCATCAAGCCCATGAGATCTGCTCCAGGTTCCTTTCCCGGACATAACCATGAATCCCCGTCCTCCTTTGCATAATCCTTGTTATCTAACTCTCTGAGGATGTGGATTATAGCACAGTTATACATTACTGTACATCCAGTATAGACTTATGAGTGAGTACATATCATGTTTTTCTTTCTGCAACTGGGTTACCCTCATTCAGGATATTTTTTTTTCTATTTCCACCCATTTTCCTTAAAACTTTTCTGATGCCATTGTTTTTAACATTTGAGTAATACTCCATTGTGTAAATTACCTCCTTTTCTTTATCATTTCTTTGGTTGAGGGGCCCATAAGTTGTTTTCATATTCTAGATATTATGAAAAACACTGGTATGAACATAGTCCAACAATTGTCCTTGTGGAAAGATTGAACATCCTTTGAGTATATGCCCAAGAGTTGTATACCTGGGTTTTGCAGTAGATTGGTTCTCAGTTGTCAGTGAAGTTCTTAATTGGCCTAAGCAATAAAAACAGAAGTCATATATATAGGGAAATTCTGAGAGATTAGAGACAAGGAGCAAGCCACCACCACAACTTGCCTCATTAGCATCTCAGTAGATTAGAGGGCAAATTATTTTTCTAATGCTTATATCCTGTTTCTTCTGGCTGGCTCACTTCCTGTTCACATGTACAGACCTCCAGACCTCTATGGTTAGCTAGTAGCAGGATCCATTCTGTAACCTTCAGACAGACTTTATTTGTACAAGTAAGATATCACCACACTCAGTTTTGTGAGAAAACACCATGTTGATTTCTAAGTGGCTGTAAAAGTTTTCAGTACCACCATTAGTGGACGAATGTCCCCCTGTATCCACATCAAAAGGTTAAATTCTTATGTCATTTCCAGTTTCTTCTCTGCTTCCTACATGTAGTTAAAGTGATGAACTTTCAGATTCCTGCTGGGGAACCCTGCCTACCACTTGTTGTCATTGCCCTCTTTCCCATTATTTCTTCTCATCCTTGACTTATGTTACCTTTTCTCATGATGTTTTATCTCAACAACAAAAAATAACAAATGTAATTTTCAATCTAACACACTACTTATTTGTGTACTTTTTTGGTCTTCTTTTTTCACTTCTTTTTCACCCATATATTACCCTCACTGTCCACAATTTTGCTAAGATGCATCTTTCCAAATATTGTAAATATTATTTTCTTCATTGTCAAAAATATTTTCATAGGAAGTTATTCTTTTCACTTCATAATTAGTTTATTTTTACTGAGAGATAATAAGTACATATAATACAATGTTTCACTCTGTCATATTTATACATATGTGCAGGTATTTTATCACATTAATGGTCCACTATCCTCTCTTTTCCTGTTGCCATTCTTGCTGATCCTTTTCCTCTTCCTAACTAGCTCTTCATTATTCTTCCATGTCCCATTACTTCATGTGTGTGTTTGCAAACCAGTGAGTTCCATTGATATTGCTTACTAGATGACAGGGAAGGAGTCATTTACAGGAACATGGGTACCTTATTAGTAGCTATTCTACTGAAAAAAATCTCTTCCTCCAGCAGCAACCACTAACTACCTATAAACTCTGGAAGAAGGGATCTCATTAGCCCTGCACCCTAACTACTGTTAACTGCTTATAAAGCCCCAGGAAAGGTGTGGTTGTTTGTAGGTGACTCCTATCAATTTGATAGAGTATTTTAGGACACACTATTGTGTAGGTCTTGTGCACAGGTACTATTAGTTAAAGAGTGCCATGTCCATGTAATGTCTAGAAGACAATCTTCCACATCATTCTACCCAATATTTAGGGTATTACATAATTTCTCTGCTTTTTCCCTCTGTGCTTTTAAATCTATATGGAATTCTAGATGTCTCATGAACACTGAAAAGGCATTTATTCTCAGCATTTTGGCCAGTTTTGATATTCTGAAATTACCTCTTCTCACTTCAAGAAGTATCTTCTTTGACCAAGAAGACTTTAGTGATATATAAGGATAAAAAATAGGTATTTAGAAGAAAATATGATGCTCACACCAAGTTCATTTAGCAGAATAACAATGATATTTTCAACACTAGCATCCATTCCTTCTCCATCATGTGGACTTGACCATGTTGACTGTATCAGCTTTGAACTTTTCTAAATCAGAAAATGATTCGTTACCCTGATGCCGCAATTCCTATTACTTCACTGTTTATCATGTCTTGTAAGGCTCTATAAAGTATAGGTCTGAGTTGCCACAGCTGAGTAATATTGTTGATGACAATCTCTAATTATCAGACTGCATAACACTTTCTGGTACTATGAGAGCTACTCAGCAGAATGGAATATTTCAGCCCATTCCCAGTTTGTTCCATTAGATACTGTGACAATTGTATGAAGATGTCCTTAGAAATAGGGTCACACCAACTAGTTTGTGGGGTATGTGACAACACTGACAATTGGATCCTCAGGCCATGTCTAGGCAACAACTCCTAGGGAGGTATTTCAGCACTAGCAATGAAGTTTTCATGTAATATTCTATGATTTCTGGGAGCTGTACTGTACTATGACTTAAATTTTTCAGTATTTTAATGAGCTTACAAACTAATGACTTTCCATAGGCATTTTCATATAGTATTGTTTTTAATAATTTTATTTCTCATCATCTGACCACAGCTTCATATTACTCCATTTGGTCTTAAATTCCTTCCCTTCAAATTCATAATATAGGACTTCTGGAAACCTTAGCTTTGAGGAGGACTGGACTAGGGCTGGGCTATGGGGGAGAGGGGATGATGGAAGGAAGCAAGAGGGATAGGAGGAGGTGAAGGTTGGGAGGGGTGACAGGGAGAACTGAAGACTAATTGTAAAATGAAATAAAAAAATTAAAAAATGAGCAAAAGAACTCATTAGCTGTGATTCCATTTCAAAATGGACTTCCTACTTTTTTCTCTACTATTTTCAGGGATTTGGATCTTTTATTAAGAATATTCATGCATATGGGATTAGAGTGAATGCCAGTATCTCTCTCTCTCTCTCTCTCTCTCTCTCTCTCTCTCTCCCTCTATCTTTTTCTCCATCTCTCTCCCCTCTCTCTGTTATAAAGAATTAAGTTGTAAATTAAGTCTATAAAATGTAGTTGTCCCATTTATTTAAGAACTTTTCTTACTTCAAATGTATAATTTTGGCATTTTGTAAAAAATCAGGTGCCTGCAGTTATATGAACTTATGTCTTATGTCTTGGTTTTCAATTCCATGAATATACATATTTTTGTATCAGTGCTGGTTTTTATTACTATTTCTCTGCACTATAACTTCAAATAGGGTACTGCTTTTTTCAAAGATTGGTTTGATTATCTGGGAGGTGTTCTTTCATTTGAATTTATTATTGAATTTGTTCTTTGGAAATTTCAAACCTTGTGTATATTATATTGCGATTATTGAAACCCTTTCCCCACTTTAATCACCCACTCATCTTTTTAACCCCATTCTCTACAATTTCCTTTTAAAATTTTATGTATGTTTATTTATGACCATTTAATTGATGAAGATTAGGAACACCTGTGGGATTGTGGGTTTTGTGCTACCCATTGAAACCTAGTTGGCACTTGTAGGGAGTAGTA